ATTGAAAGTGTGTGTATATCTATAATTGAGTGTGTGTGTGTGTGAGAGAGAGAGAGAGAGAGAGAGAGAGAGAGATTTTCTAAGACTTTCCCCCCCCCCCTTTCAACGTTGGCTCTGACTACATCCAGAAGCTAATGGCTGTACCTTTCAGGAGGGGTGAGGGGGTGGGAGGTCTGGCAAATAGCTGCTAGTAGTTTAAAACATTTGATAGTGCAAGTATTAAACAAAAAAGCATGCATTTTAAAAATAGTTACTGAATCACATTACCAAACTGTCATATGTAGTAAAAGAGGGAGAGTGAGAGAGAGAGAGAGAGAGAGAGTATGCGTCTGTGTGTGTGTGTGTGAGAGAGAGAGAGAGAACTAAGCTACCTGGCAAAGAAATGACTTTTCAGCCCACTTTTTTTGTAATGTCTTCTTTAAAAGCTTTATCTGAGGTTACTGTTTCTTTACTGTTTGACTCCATAGCCTTAACCTTAAAACAGGGGGAGGAGAATAGTGGGGTGGGGGTGGGGGTGGGGGTGCGAGCAGCATATAAGTGCATCAGGAGGAATTTTTAAACGACCTTATTGTCTCTAGCTTTAGAAAGGCTACGAGGATTTCCTTTTAACGCCAGCAGCTGTTTTCCCTCGAAACTTTGCTTTCCGCTAGAGAATATAACATGATGTCTCTTACGCAAGTGAGAAAGGAAAATGTATGCTGATAAATCCAGATGCGAAGCAAAAGAAGGCTTAACTCTGTGGATGGTATTAGCTGTGACGAGGCATTGTTCACTGCTGCCTCTTGGTTACGTTTAAAGGCTGAAATATCACGAGATCCATTCAATGATCCTTTTCTCATTCAAGGGACAAAATGTAATTTGCTGTAGCTCTGGTTTCTTGGAGGGGAATACTATCCTTAGATTTCAAAAGGAAGAACTAGATGTGGTTTGTACACACATTGATTAAGTTGAAGAGCGGCGATTACATCTGTGCAGAGAGCAACAGTAGTCTAGGGGTGGCTTTTCAAATCTCAAACCTACTGAGTTACAGACTCTCCTAAATAGACTTCCTTAATTTCCGGATGCACTTCTGCAAATTCCCAGTTCTCGCCAGAATTCCTGCGAAATTGGGAGGTTGTGTGCATTCTACTTTGTAATGCAAAACTATCGACAATTATTTTTTAAAAGCGATCCTTGTATTTATTTCAGCTATAACTGATGGTGTAATACGAGCTCCACTCACCATATTGCCAATCTATAGAGTGGATAATGGAACTTTTGAATTCGAAGGGAAAAATTAGTCCCAGAAATATGAGATGTTTTCTTAATCACACGGATGTGTCTAATTTTGGATATGCACTAAACTACTGCTATATATAAGTGCTTGTGTTCTATCCAGTTTTCAGTTGAAAACTGATTATGGGCGGATAGTTATTTTTGCAGCTTTTGACATGCAAACCGCAAACATCATTTTAACGCACGAAGGAAGAGGTTTGCTAACATTGCAACATGTTCGAAATCATTTGTGCCTGACACTGAAGTATTGTAACGTCACTGCGAAGAGGTTACACCTTCATGCTGCTTCTTCAAAATGATTTTAAAGGGTTGGTATAAATGGAACATCTAAAGTCTGCAGGTCTACCCCAAACTGACCGTGCTGCAAACCAGAAGTGCCCTGGACCGTTGCAATATTCTATATCGTGTGCCAGCACTTTTCTGTTATTACGTAAAGCCTCTGGAAGCACCTTGGATATTTTACATTCTCTTTTCTCTACTGGAAGCAGTCAGCACACGAGAATCCTAACGTGGAGTCTGGGACTCTAGGACATTCCAGCTTGTGATCCAGCACGGTTAATTGTGAAAAGTGTGTACATTTCTGGCTTATCTATGCTTTGTTATGGGTCTGACGTGAGCCCACGTCCTCCTTCCCCTCCCCCAATATTACAGACAGAATTTCAACTACAGAGTGACAGTATTACGGTGTTGGAAACCTTGATATGCAGAGCAAAAAACAAACTTAGCCATTGACTGTAGAACGACAATTAAATAGAAGAGGAAAATCAAGAGAAACTCGAAAATGTAAGTATTCATTCTCGATTTCTAACAACAGAGCCTTTCACCTCTGAGCTTGAAAAAGGGAAATACCAGGCTATTCTGCACATTTTCGCTAAGCTTCATTTTCCACACAATGCAGAATAAAATATCAGTTTACAATTATTGCATTACCAAAGTCTTTTCTCTCGATATGATAACACTTATGTCCTTTACAGTCACATAATGCCCAAAATAGCAGCATTTGTCCAAAATAATGTCATTATATATATATATATATAAAATGACAATAAAAAACATACAAATCCTACATCTGTAGCTAGCGATGAAGTCTGAGAGGTCTGAGTGTATCTGAGCTCAGATTGTTTAATAGAAAGATTTATATACTAACTGTATTATTTACTTTGGGAGGGGGCTTGGCAGTGTAAGGGTATGCTAATTAGTGGGAGATTTTTTTGGGGGGGAAGGGGTGGAATATCAATTTTTATTGCATCACCTGTCAGGAGTGTCCAATCAGCGTTGGCTTTAGGGGAATTAATTGATGAAGGTGTCTCCGGACGAGCTCACTTCACTCTGTCATTTTATTTGTAGCTAAAGCAGCGGCGGGAATAGCAGCTGCATTTCTTTTCTCTTCCTCCCTTCACATTCCATTATCATAGTTCTCCAATGGAAAAGCAGGGAATGAAAGGGAACAGGTACTGATCTTCAACAGCAACTTAGAGAAACACTTTGGCAAACCTGATTTTCAAACAAAAATATACAGAGATTGTAGTTTCACATGGTTTTTTTTTTCTAATTTCGTCTAAAGTTTGGCACTCCATTGAGCAGGAATAACAGTCTTTGTTATTTTATTAGCAGGATGCCTTGAGACAAATACAACATCTGGCTGAGGATTGTGTGTGTGGCTTTTTTTCTTTATTTCTGCAAATGCTGGGAATAATTTAATTCACGAAATGGGAGACTTGAAGTCGGGTTTTGAAGAGGTGGATGGCGTGAGGCTCGGCTACCTCATCATTAAAGGAAAGCAAATGTTTGCACTCTCTCAGGTTTTTACAGACCTGCTCAAAAACATCCCGAGAACTACAGTGCACAAGCGAATGGATCATTTAAAAGTAAAAAAGCATCACTGCGACCTGGAGGAGTTGAGGAAACTCAAAGCCATCAACTCCATCGCTTTTCATGCAGCCAAATGCACACTGATATCCAGAGAGGACGTAGAAGCTCTTTACACATCTTGCAAAACGGAACGAGTCCTTAAGACAAAAAGGAGGAAAATAAGCCGGTCATTGTCAACAAAAGATCTCCAACCGGAGCACACATCCACCGACCCCTACTCCAGCTTTTGGAAAGAGAACAAACTCTGGCTGGGTTTGAATGAATCGGCTCAGCCTCTGCCAATTAGAAGAAAAGCTTTGCGTCCCGGGGACACAGGCTTGCTACCGGCCTCTGATCTACCTCACATTTTTAGTAAATACACTGGTCACAGCTACCCAGAAATCGCTCGGACGCCTTGCAAACCCCCTTTAAACTATGAAACTGCCCCGATCGTGGGCAACTATGTCACCTTTCACTCGGATCCCCCTTATTTTCGGAGCGTCCTTTGCAGCAAGCACCCGGCTGCTGCTGCTGCTGCTTATTACCAGTCCGCCGCCGCCATCGCGCAGACCAAGCTAGCGGCGGCGGCGGCTGCAGGGAGCCCTGTGGGTTTGACTTACAGATACAAAAGGAAAAGACCGTGTGAGGCCGCCCAAAAGGACTGTTTATTAAACACCCCCAGCAGCGCCAGGCGGCTCCTGATCGTGCCCAGGCCCTGCAAGCCCAAAGGAGCTGCAGCAAGCACGGCCGCTTGCCTGGAGAGATTTCACCTCGTCAATGGCTTTTGCACTTCTCCGCAGCAGCCGCAGCAACAGCATCTGGGCAGCTTCCCCGAGAGCTACAGCAGTGACTCGGAGTCCAGCTCTTACTCCGACCATGTGGCCAACGACTCTGACTTCGGGTCCAGCCTCTCCAGCACCAGCAACTCCGTGTCCTCGGAGGAGGAGGAGGAAGACGACGAGGAGGAAGGCAGCGGCGTCTCGGACTCCAGCGAGGTCAGCTCCGAGGAGGAGGATACGACCTCAGACTCCGACTCCAGCTCGGTTTCCAGCCAGGTCTCGGTGCAAAGCATCCGCTTCAGGCGAACCAGTTTCTGCAACCCCCCCAGCATGGCCCAGGCCAACTTCTTGTATCATTTGGCCACGGCTGCCCCCACCAAATCGCCAGCTTTCGAGGAGGCAGGCAGGCTTCCCGACCTCAAAAGTGCTCAGTGTGGTGTCAAATCGGAATTGCCAGAGGAATGGAGTCATCAAAGCTGGGCATCCAAAGCACCTCCAGTGTGCTGCTCCAGCAGCCTTGGAAGTTGTTTTGCTGAGATAAGGAATGATAGGGTATCTGAGATCACATTCCCACACCCTGAATTTTCCAATAATGTAAAGAGTACTGACCTAACAATTAACTGTGCTGCAAAGGGGGCCTCTTCACCTAGCCCAAAGACAAACAATGCATTTCCACAACAAAGAATACTCAGAGAGGCAAGGAAATGCCTTCAAGCAACAACTACACACTGTGCAGATAACAATACAATAGCTGCTAGGTTCTTAAATAATGATTCTTCACCAACAGCAGCAAATTCAGAAGAAGATTCCAAAATCCCTCATTGTATTGAATTTGCCACGGATTTACCCTCTTTGCAAACTGATCGTGCTTCTACAACAGCAGCAGCTGAGCTTGAATGCAATGATCCGGGCAATAAGGCATTGCCATTCCTGCACAATATTAAAATCAAAATAGAGGATAGCAGTACGAATGAAGACTATGAACCTGACCTTTCAAAACATAAGCTAAAGTGTGAGTGCAATGATACTAAGGATGAATTTAACGGTGTGACTGAGAGTAATAACCCGGACGTTTTATTAACAGCCCAGGAAGATTCTGCATGCACTGAGAAAGAAACCACTTCCTTAAACACGCTGACTCAGAGTCAGGTCCTTTCATGCACTTTAGGTACTCCAAAACCTGAGGATGGGGAGTATAAATTTGGAGCGAGGGTGAGAAAAAATTACAGGACATTGGTTTTGGGAAAGCGACCTGTACTGCAGACTCCTCCAGTCAAACCAAATTTGAAATCAGCTAGAAGCCCACGTCCTACAGGTAAAATTGAGACACATGAAGGAACACTGGATGATTTTACAGTTACCAATAGACGCAAAAGGGTAGCCAGCAATGTAGCATCAGCAGTGAAAAGGCCGTTTAATTTCATGGCAAATTTTCCCTGTCCACCGTCACTAATTATTGGCAATGATGGGGATTTGTTGCCAGCTTATTCCTTAAACACCACTAAGGATTCGCAACCACCTCACAAGGCCCATCCTGTATGGAAATGGCAGTTGGGCGGTTCTGCAATACCTCTTCCACCTAGCCACAAATTCAGGAAATTTAATTAATAAAATAGTTTGGAAAATACTTTCTTGAACCACCTTTACCTTTCTTTTGTTTTAAACTCGACAGGATGGTTTGTACAAGCCCCTTAATGCTTTACACACTTTTGGAGTCCTGTTTTATCACATTGTGAAGATAGAAATCGGATTACTATTTTCTTTTCCATTACAGTCTTTATTTGTTTGTTTGTTTGTCTGGGTAATTTTTACATTCCACAGAGTACTTCAGGCTAAAGACTCAACTTAAACTCAGTTATTATCGTAGAGCTGGAACACTTTACTGTTTAAATGCTAATAATGCACCGGTACCTCAATTCAACTGCTACAAATAAATGTCAAAAGGTTGAATAATAAATATTAGAATGAGCCATTAAATTTATGCACTAGATTTCGAAAATGGAAGTCGAACTGTTAATTCAGTTAAAGTTTGTTAAGTTACTTGGTTGCACAGTAAGGGTTCACTATAATTCAATGTGGCAGCAGTCTCTACTTTTCGGGAGCTTTGTTTTCCAGAGTAGGGGGCTTTTTTTCCAAGAGCAGTTGCATTTACTAATTTTTCTATGGTTTGGAAAGGTTGGGGTTGGAGTACAGCTGGAGCACTGGAAAAGCTGCCTCATCTCAAAACTAGTAAATAAATATGGAATTCTGTTTTTGGTAAAGGGTGTCTTTTTACTTGTACAGTCACTCTTTGCAATTGGAAAGACTTTTTGCTTCACCCCCAAAGTCTTAAATACGGTTACTGTTACCCACTAATGTCCTACTTCAATTTTGATCTGAACATGCCCCTTACTAACTTGCAAAGCAACTAAAATATTTGTCTGTATAGCAGTACAATTTATGGTCTAACCTCTCACACTCGATGGAGGAAATAGCAAAGCGGTAAATGCAACACAGAAAGTGAAACGTGAGGCCATAAGTGGAAAGAATACACAAAATGAGAATATCATGTTATTCATAGCTTTTTGGCACCAAAACTCAGGCATTTAGACCTTAGTACACTTCACTGTTTTATCCGAATCTCTTGAAACTTGAGTTTTGCAATACCATCCTATCTATGTAGCAGAAGCATTTCTACTGCACGTGACAATCAGAGGCAATTATCTATATTTGCACTTAATATCGAAATAGTTTAACAGGTAGACTTCTAGAGTCTAGCCCTGGGTAAGACATGCTGGTGTAATATGTTGTGATGATGGAAGCAGTAAATCAAAATTATGAAAATTTGCACTGTTGAAAAGCATGCTTTAGCTTTATTTTCAATTAAAAACACTGTTTAAAAATTCCTGATTTCATACACTTCGACTTATTGCAGAGTTGTCCATAATTTCCTCTTCATCTGAAAGTTTAAGGTTTTTATTTGGAGGAAATACGCTTCCAGAGCTTATTTTTGTTTTGTTTTGTTTTTAAATAAAACTGTTATTAACCCAATTTAAGGCAGTCTTGAACAATGTAGAGTTTATATTTTGGGAGGGAAATACGTTCCAAAGTTATAATAAAATAGTTTGAAAAGTTGTGGATTTGAAAACGTCAGTTACAATTGGGCTGCTGAATTAGCAGAGTTTGAGATTAAAAATTGCTGGGTTAATCTTCATTTACATTTTATTTATACTAGAGTCTTTTCCAAATTACATTTTAGAGATTCCACCTCTTCATTAATTCCGGGAGAATAATTTATCATAAATCAAAAAAGAAAAAAAAAACAGCAATGAAATGTTTATTGTGTGACTCAGAGTCAACATTTCTTATGGAAATTCACTGCCTATTTTTTATCCTCTACCCTCTTTGTCTCTAAATATTCCAAGTAGACACTGGCTGCTTTCAGCTCTATTTACTATATATATGCACACCGTGGTTTTCCTCTCATTGTAAAAGACCTCTTCTAAGAATACCTGCAGCCAAATATATTTAGAAAGAGTAAACAATTGCCTTTCAATTGATTCACCCTTCCCCCCCATACACACACTTTAAGTTGCCAATTGCAAAAGGTGCATTGCATACTTAACCTGCTCAGCGGAAATTATGGTGGCCGTTAAAAATCTGTTTACTGGATGAAGTTGTTCTGAAATTAATGTTTACATTCGAGTGTTTGGAGCTGCATAAATTACAGGCTTATTTCCAGAAATATGTAAATACGTACACAATTTACTGTTCAGGAAAATCCCCTGGCTCTTTGGGAAAGCAGGGTTTGATTGAACAGGGTCTCCCCTTGACAGAAATCTACAAAGCTACAATATGCAAGCTTAAAACCTGAAATTTCCCCTTATCTATTAAACAGTACGTATATCATTTTAAAAGTAGCTTCCTCCACTGACCCTGTGTATTTACAATTAGAGACATGTTGACTTGACCCTAACTTATAAATAGCAGAGACGATTTGTTTTGACTCTCTAACTAATATTGGGGAAAGAAACAAAGCACAAATTCAGACCAAATACATTCAATGGAGTTGAAAACGTAAAATATGGCGCCCAGCTCTGATATTAGCTCTGTCGCCCTACATGAATTAATAGTTCCAGTTTATGGAAGCTGGAGAATGAACACCACCAAGCCAAATACACTCCTGAGTGTATCATTCCTGCAGACTTTTCTGCTGAAGTATGATGAATAAAGGCACCATCAAAAGGCAAGAAGTTAAATGGCCAAATAATTGTCACACGTGTACACCTCAGTTTAGTTTCAAGCCACTAGCAAGAACATTTGAGTTTTTACTTCTGTCAGAGTAATCTGCCAGGTACAAGAATGTACTGAAAAAGGTATTATTTCAAATCCCTGGTAGTTTGGGAGCTGTTTCTCATTGTGTTGTAATAATTATTGCGAACACAGTTTATTATAATTTTAGACTTGATGATGATAATAAAATAAAATTACTGTTATAAATAGCACATTTCCCCCCAATAAAGGTAAGTCTTATGAGGAAGACAAGGGTTTTCTAGCCAGCGGGATTATGGTATTGCTGTAATGTTTGTAGGAAAGAGAAACTAAAGGGTATCAGCTATGAAACTTGACAGTTTTCCAGTTTCTTGATGTACAATGCATAAATCAATAAAATGAAATAAAAGAATAATCATAAATAAAACACACCTAGGAGAGTACTTGAACTTGTCTGGAACATTATTCCAGAGATTTTGCTACAAGTAGAGGCTACTGATACATTTATTGGGAAGATTTCTGCGACCACATTGAAGACAAAGGAAGTTTTGGACTATGTCTAATTCTCTAGAGCATTCAAAAAGGGAACATGTGTAATGCCTTCAGCAACCAGGTATATTGCCTTAAAAGATGTAACTTTCAGTTTACAACAATTTACTTTTAAAAGTGATTGTTCTATAATATACACTTACTTGACTACAGTGGGATAATCTCTTTACTGGTTTATTTAAAACGCCACTATGTAGCAATAATGCAAAAATGGTGGTGGCTGTTGTATGACGTTTGCTGTTCAATCATTCACTTGGTGATTTTCTGCATGGTCTCTGACCTTTTTTCCTATATCAGATTTAGTCGCCAATAAATTAAAGTTTCTGCAGAAATAAGAACAATGCTATCATGTTTTTGTTTGTTACACTTCACACGTGTGAGTGGTTAAGATAGAGAGAGGGATGTAAAAATTGGCATTTTTTCTATGCAGGCGTCTAATTCAGTGGTAATCTGTAGAAAAACTATTGTAATACATGTAATATACTAGAAAATATATAACATAGAGAACGTGGTTAGTTGTGGTTTCTACAGTTAAAATGGTTACTGAAAAATTTTAGTGGTTCAGCTTAAAATCTGTTTGGACATAACTTTAAAGTTAAAAAGTACAATCGTGTACAAATTAAAATAAATCTCTCAAAATAAGGACAAAGGCATTGGAATCTACCTAGCTAAATCAGATTTACAAAAATGAGCCATTCACGAGGTTTTCCCCCTGGTATTTACCCTTACAATCATGTTTAAGAATGTACCGTTTATCAGTTCCATGGTTGAATGTGGAGTTTCTCATTCCTCTGTAGCCAAATTGCTTTCTGTTAAATAGAGGACACTTCCCAAACATTTTGGGAAAGGACACCTGGGTATGCAGTTAACTGATTTTAGGTCTTCAAAGTTGCATTTTTTAAACTGTTCTGATATAATTATTTACTATGCCCTAGCCCCCCACCCCCTCCTTTTCAATCTCAGGCGGCCTCACAAGTCCCAGCTTTAAAAGGCCCTAGATGTTTTGCATGAAGCTCTCACAATAGGGGTTGAGAGAATTGACAGTTTCAAAAACAAGGCGTTCTGTCCTTTCCAGATGCCGAGAAACCCTTTCCTGCATCATCTCTCGTTTGCTCTTCGCTGCTGGTGGCTTTATCCTTAGCATTGCAAATATACTGCAACAGCTGTGTTTGTAAACAGGGGGGGGGGGCAGTTTGGATGGAGCCAGCAACGCCTCGTTTTATACTTTGTAAATGAGTGTGATGAGCCGGAGTGACCAATATCTCTGCTTCCTGACGAGAAAGAAGAAGGAAGTTGGCCCTAAAGTCTGTGGTGTAGCGTGCAACATAAGGTTACCACTGTACTTTGCCTTCAAAATCATCAGATTCGTTGGCAGGAACATGTGAGCTAAAGTTCTCCCCTGAAATGTAGCAGTGATGGTCTAGAGACTCCCCTTAATATCGTGCAGACACTTGGGGACAACACTAAAAATGCCGCCATCTTGCTTTATGGAAAACAAATTCTTTGTGATTTTTCGCCCAGACCTCTTTCTCTCTCTCTCGAATTTGTTACCCACTCATTAGGCGAGGCGGAACAGGAGCTCCTGCACTCACTCACTACCAGTAGCTCTCACATAGATTCACATCAAAGTGGCCCTTTTGCAGGCGGCTGCTCTCAGGCTGCTGTTTGAGGGGGCCAGTGAAAATGAAGATCAGGCTCACATATTTTCCCCCATTTTGCTAGTTCCTCTGGCTGATCATCCATTTCACTTTGCTCTTCTTTTGTGTGATCTCCCCCCTCTCTGTCTCTCTCTCATACACAGGCGCCGCACTAGTTAACTGTCTCTAAAATGTAATAGTTAACGGCCCATATTGAAAACAACTCAATAATTAAATGAGTGACGCAGCCGGCCAACATCGTCGGGAAAAGATAACAAAAAATACACTTCCTGCAGCCCCACTTGTTATTTGGGGGTTTAGGTTTTAAAGAAATAAGGTAGAATGCAATTTCCCTTCCCCTACCCAATCCATCTGAAAATCAAATTGCCATGTGGAAAGCAAATACGGATTTGGGGGTGATACGGCTGGGAGCTCCACAATACAAATAAAACAGCACACACGAAAGAGAAAAAAACATAGTGGTGAGCTGCACAGACAGGTCAATGAGAAAAGTGCAACAAGGTTGTTTACTCTCGCGTTTAAAATGCAGTTGCAGTTGTAAAGTGTGTGAAATTACGCGCTGGTCTCTTAAAGAGTGCCTAATTTATAGTAAATAGCCAGGGCTTTGTAAATGGGTTTATTATGTTGTTTCTTGTTAATTGTTGAGAAAATCCCCATTGTTGAGTGTGAATGGCTTTATGAGGTAACCTGGTCATTGGTGCAATCAAGGGGCAGTAAATGGCCGCTCTGCTAATGTGGCCTGTAGCAAAAGCTGGGATCAGCCATGGCGGAGCTGGTGACCTTTCAGAGATGCTGCAGGAGTAGGTCTCTTCTGGTGAAAAAAGATGATCTTTCAGATTTTAATGCACTCAAAGGTGCGCTTTTAATGATGAGGGTCTGAAGAGCTAAGCGGAAAGTGGAGTTCAGTATCACGCAGGCCAGTTCAGTGCAATCCTGCGGGCATCCGGCCTGTTGGGGAGCCTTGCTGCTGTCAGTGGGAAATGAAAGGGCCGCGTTTTCACAAGCAAAAATCTGATCATTTGGTTAAAACCAACTCGTGTTAGAGGCGAATCCTTCATATTTTGCAAATAGACGCCTTTAAAAATCTCCTCGCAGCCAAGCCCCAGGAATTACCCAGATCCGGTATTCATCAAAAGAAGAAAATCCAATGCCCGCTTAATGCAGAAAATGCTAAGTAAATAATCTGAAAATGAAGAGAATACACGTGCAATGTTCACGTCTCTCCTTTGTTAACATAAACCACTAAAGGATCACACACACACACACACCATCCATTGGAAACTTTGCTACAGAGGGACTCAGGAGGCAGTAAAACGGGAGAAAAAATCAAAGTGCTAACTGAAAAGTGCAGTCTTTAGAGGGAAAATTGCAGTTTTGTTTTCAAAAGATTCCCATCCCCTTCGCTTCTCTGCCATTGTTGTGGTTTGGGACTTGCTAGGAAAGGCAATAGCGATTTGGAGAAGAACCTGCAGATTCCAGTTTCTGACTGGAAAAAATGTATTGAATTTCCCCCAAACTACCCCGCACGCCGTTTCATGCACAGAGGAGTTCCCGAAGCAAACACAGCGCTGTGGCTGCTGGGTTTAAACGCTAGGCTGCAGAGTGTTGTTGGGCAAGGGATTTTACTCTTCATTGCTTTAAAAGGAAAATGAAACCCGCCCTGCTAACTGTAACTGAAACATAAACGCTGTTACATTTAAACTCACTCTGAGTGCACGTGTCTGTATATTACCAAATATAAATCGTGGTGAAACGTAAATTCCTCTCTAGAAACGTATACAGGGCTATTCTCTTTCCTAAAATCTCTCCCTCTCGCTCGATCTTTCTGATTTCGCTATTAGGAGAAATCACCCTGGGTTTAAAGCACTTGTTTCACGGATTTTTGTACAACCCACATCTATTAACTTTCTACTGCTCCTACTCTCCTCTTTTATAAATAACGTTGCGTTTCTCTATAGTATAGAAACTAAGGTGAAGGCTGTTTTTAGACCAATCGATTTGTGTAGATACTGAGATAACATAACCCACGCCACCCAGGACAGAAGCTATTTTCAAAATTGAATTTTATGATCAATACTGAATTGCAATGTGTAAAATGCAAGAATCCGCCAAATTCAGATCTTTAGCTTCCAGTTCTTTTCCAGTTTGATTAACACACTCGAAATAGATATGTGGGGTTGTACAGTCCATTTCCCTCAAAACAGGATGTTTCCATCAAGCTGTATTTGGTTTTCCCCAAAGATCACTACAAAGTTTAGTTGGGAAACACGTCCCAGAAACACGTGGAGATAAACCCTTGTCTTTAGCTGCCATTCGGTTCACTTCACATCTTTGTATTATATTTCAAACTGTCATTCCTCTTTCTTTATCTTTCTGGGATAACAAAAATGTACCTGTTTATAATTAAATACATCCATTCTAATAGCAGTGACACAATCCATTCCAAGAGGCATTCGCTATCAACTCTTTGTTTTACATTGAAGGGTTTGCTGTATTAGAGCCATTAATGTAGTGCTACTCCTGATTACTAGCTACTATATTTTGGTAAACAGGAATCTATTAGTTACTTGTTAAAAATGTCATTTCATTATTTGGGTGAGGATAACTTGGCGAGCGAACTTTTTTATTCCCCAAGCAAACCTGACGCCTAGTTTGAATAAACCTGATTTAAGAATCAAAGAGAGCTTCAGAAAAGCAATTACACATACTCTAAATAGCATATTTGCTGGCTTTGCAGGCTCTTTGTACGTAAGTGTATGTGTGGTGAGTGTGAAAAATAACCTGTGCCAACACGTTTCATATTTACCGACTTTGCTATTGTATTCCGAAGATTTAGCAGCAAACTGTTCGACACAATCGCACAACAGCAAAATCAGAAATCTTATCTAGTAAACTGCACGACAAAGAAGTTGCTCACTTTTGGAAATGTCCGTTTCCATTTCCATGTACATGACACTATTGGTAAAGAGTAAGTAGTGATAACGTGCCATTTAATGGACAGTGTTCCAGACCATTTGAAAAACGTCACTGTGTCTACTGTGGATGTTTGAAGTAACATATTATACCCATAAAACGGGTTTTCAGATTATTTCCAATTGTGATATATTTGTACCCAGCAAAATCTGCCAGGTTCACTTGAGGCCATATAATATTCTTAGTGAATGATGTGTTAGAAGAAAAAGAGAACAGAATTCAATATACACTGCAAAATAATGCCTGGTCTTCCCAGCTATGATCCCATCGTCTCTTTTATATTCTAAGGGTAGTTTATTCTATAAATTATGGCCTCGGGTTTGCAATTTATAGCAGTAAAATTTATTAATTAGTTTATGATTTCAGTATGTTTATTCATAAAGGGATGTACAAATATATTTAGTTCTAAACAAGCCATGCCGTTAAACAACATCGAACAAGTCTGTGTAAATTGGCATTTATCTCTATATCTGTGTAAATGCAGATAAATATAAATATTATCCCAATAATCTGAGGGATGCCAGATCATGAAATCTATACAGAGGGCATTTTAAAGAAACGTTTCCCTGTTGGAAATGTTAGCTTCTTACTCAGGGCTGGAGATAGTTTTTTTTTTTTTTTTTTAGTTTTGTTTATAATTATCTATAGCTTGGGAAGTTTGATGGCTCCTTTTTATAATGTATGTAACCTTTGTCGCATACGAAGAG